AATGAAGCCTTACAGAGATGTATGTGCACGTGGTTGAGATCAGCAAAATACAAATCCATTTAAAAGCATCAGTGAACATCTAAGAGCTTTTAGTCATATGTACTTTCTCAGACGCAGAAAGTACACGGGGGCAACAGCACTGTTTTTCCACTTTAGAAAGGAATCTTTCTACCTGTCAACCTGAGAAACTGCTGGGATAGAAGATAGCAATGCCAATTAACCGTGTGTCCCAGCAAAGATTGGGTTACTGTCCCAAAGAAGAGGGGGCAAATTCCCATGAGAACAGGCTGGATTGGACGAGGCTGAATTTGAGCCACAGGCCCCGCTATTCCCTTCCTTCAGTTCTCTGCACAGATGCCAAATAACCTTCTGGACCAGAAAGTCACCGATTTCCTTTACCCATCAACTGAAGATGGGACTAGTCCATGACTGAGTCCTGGCCCTGGAAATCAAATCCAACTGCTAAGAACTCGCTGCCCACAGTTGCGAACTGGGAGTATGCTAGGGGAGCGCTTGAGGATCAGCCCTCGAGCCTCACCCAGGACCCATCACCCTCAGAGGTCCTCCAACCAGACGGACAAGTTTAGGATGCATGACAGACTGCTGGCACCTTGTTGCTCTTGGTCCCTGGACCGCAGGGCACGCAGGCCTGGACACCATAAGGCTGGTGGGCTTTCAGGATTGTGTTAGGGGGGCAGGAGTGGCAGGTTCCTGAATTTCGGTCAATATAGTAACCAGCAGGACAAGAGGTGCAGGAGGAGCCCATATCAGAGGCTTCTAGGGCACAGGGACGGCAGTAGGAGGCCACCCCATCCATGACATTGGTGATGTTGATAGAGTAGATCTTGGCAACATCATTGGTATACTTCCTGCCCTGGAGACAAGGAAACAAGAGGGAAGAGGGTGAAGGCCTAGATGGCAGCAACAATCGTGGCCTCTGGAAATAGCAAACTATTTCTTTCTTTCTTCTTTTTCTTTTTGAGAGATAGGGTCTCACTATGTTGCCCAGGCTGGGGTGCAGTTGCTATTCACAGGCACGATCATAGCACACTACAGCCTCAAACCCCTGGCCTCAAGCAATCCTCCCACTTCGGTCTCCCAAGCAAAGTACTTCTTAATCTTTTATCCTATGATAGATACTCAAGAAAAATCTTAGAAGGATCCTACTCTTTTTACTCACTTAACAGTGGCTCTTTATGTACATTTGGTGTCATTTTAAAACAAGATTGAGCCATTTTAAATGATGTTAAAAATATTAAGTACCATGGGGGAAATATGCAGTAGATACTGTTATATGGAAAAAGCAAGTCTTTTCCTTGTAAAAGAAAAAAAAAAGTATTTGTAGAGAAACAAAGACTATATAGGAGATACTCCAGATGTTGATTGGATTACCTCTGGGTAGTATGGTTATAGCTGACTTCATTTCTCCTTTTTTGCTTATTTCTATTCTCTAAGTGTTCTGCAGTGAACCTGTATTACTTTGAGTTAGGAAAATAAAACCCAGCCATGCAAGGTGGCTCATGCCTGTAATCCTAGCACTGTGGGAGGCAGAGGCAGAAGGATTGCTTGAGCTCAAGAGTTTGAGAACAGTCTGAGCAAGAGCAAGACATCGTTTCTACCAAAAATAGAAAAAGTTAACCAGGCATGGTGGGATGCACCTGTAGTCCCAGCTACTCGGGAGGCTGAGGCAGGAGGATCGCTTGAGCCCAGGAGTTTGAGGTTGCTGTGAGCTAGGATGATGCCTCTGCACTCTAGCCGGGGCAACAGAGTGAGACTCTATCTCAGAAAACAGGACAGGGACTACAACAAGAGACAGATCACTTAAGGCACTTACATCAGCATCTTCCCAGGAAGTCATTGGCTAAGGCTAGGGGATCCTCAGAGGGCTGATTTAGACACTTACCTGCTTGACTCTTGAGATCCTTCTAACCCTTGGATTATGAACCTCAGAACTTAGGCTAATGCTAGGCATGCTCCTGGGTCCAGAGGGTCTCTTCTGGGAGTCAGGGGTCCGAGGAAAGGGGAGGAACTTACTGCCTCGTGAAAAGTGGTCCTCTGGAAGGCCCAGGTGAAGCTCATGGTGGCGTTCTCCTCCACGGTGTAGGTATAGGACTGTTTGCCTTTGGAACCTTTCCACGTCTCCACGGGAGTGTTGGTCCTAGAATTCATGCCCTGAACCCAGGACAGACAAGTGAAGAAAGTGCGATGGCCGGAGGTGGAGCGGGTGCCCATACTGCTGCCATCCCGGGGCCATCACAGGTGGTCAGACCCATGTTAAACTGTGAAGTCCCCGATGGCCAGTCTGGGCCTTTCCTCTGTGGCATCACTACAAGTGGGTGTCAGTTATGTTGAGGCACCAGTGGGGCAGATGGAACCAAGCCTCCCCTGGAAGCCCCGCAGCAGGCAAAGAAAGAAAACGTACCACCATGAAGTAGAGCTCACAGTTCACGGAACAGATGGTCTCAAAGACAAATGTGATTCTGGCCACCTCTTTATTCTCTGTGTCTGCCATCACCGACTCTGGAGGTCTGTGGGGGCAGAAATTAAAAGTCAGTACCAGAGGCCAGGCAGTGCTTATTGAAGAGCCCGAACAGCTGCAAAGGGTATACTCAGGGATGGGATTAGGTTCTGAATACCCTGGAAAGAGTGTGGACTAAACCCAATTCTGTCCCCCCAGCTATATGACCCTGACCTAGCCAAGCCGTAGTTTCCTCATCTGTAAAATGCAGGTGATAATATATCTTTCTTACCAACCCCCCGCCATTGCAGTGAGATCCAAAGGCATGACAGATGTGGAAGTGCTTTATAAAATGCTATATAACCTCACCCAGGCACAGTGCGTGCTCCTGCAGTCCCATCTACTTAGGAGGCTAAGGCAGGAGAATCACTTGAGTCAGAAGTTCAAGACCACCCTGGGCAACATAGTGAGACTTCATCTCAAAAAAAAAAGCTATATAGCCTCACTAGCCAGACCAGCAGCATGGCCACCTTCAGGAGTTTATTAGAATTGCAGAACTTCAGGCTCCTCCCCAGACCCAGTGAATCAGAATCTGCATGTGAACACAATTCCCAGGGGATTCGTATGTTTTAAGTTTGAAAAGCACTGCTGTCATGAGATGTAAGTTGTCTACATTTACTCAGCAGCTCACTCTCCAGCATAATGGGAGCTTTGCCTGGGTCAAGTGAGTAGAATCTGTGGTGTCTTCAGCAAAGTTCTCGGGTCGCTCCTACTTTTGAGAAAGAGAGAGCCATGCCCAAGTGGGCTGGAGGGTGGGGGAGTGAGTCGGCACTTTACTACGGCAATCAGATTTGCAAATTGAGAAGTGCCTTTTGAATGTTACTCAAGAAAAGCCTAAAAGGTTGCTCACCTTGCAAACACAGGATATAGCTGGTCAGCTCTTGGTAATGTGGGTTAAGGAAAAGGAAATTGAGCACACCATCCCAAGGATGGAAAGCAGAGACCTCGGGGGGAGGGAATGGAGAAAGAAGTCAAACTGGCAATAGAGAAGACTGTTCAGTGGTTCCCCCTCAGCTTCAAAGCACATATGGGCAGGAGAGTTCACTTTGGCTTTGGAAATCATTTATGGTTTTTCTTTTGGCTTTAGTCATTTGCTTGAAGTCCGAAGCCCTCCAGCTCCCACCTCTTCTCTACAGGGCTGTGCTAACCAATGAGCTGGAAGAATCATCTCAACCTCACCTACTCCTAAATCACAGACTTGTTTTATAGATGAGGGGCCTGAAGCTTGTACAGGTGAAGTGACTTTTCCAAGTTCACCAAGCCAGTAAGTGGCAAAGTTCAAGTTCCTTTCAGTCCAGTGTACTTTTCTACCATACCACACTGCCAGGAGTAACTTTTTTTTTTAAGTGACAAACAAATTGCTTGTTGCCCTAGGCCTTCTTGGGATATGGGGCCAAATATGACAATAATAACAATCCCTCTCAATCTTCTTGCCCCAAATAAAGACGGATGGTCTATGAGCACTTCTGGCCCTATTTTTTAAAGTTGTTTTTTTTTTTTTTGATCTTTTCTGATGCTGTGAGGAGGAAGAATTTGAGTAGCATGTGGCCAGTCGCTAGGATGAGAGAGCCTGTGCAGCACTGAGAAAATGCGCCGGCATTCACTCCAACCTGGCCGAACTACTACTGTTCCCTCGACTCTGAACTGACACTGAAATGAAATTCAGCTCCCAAAGCCCTCTCCTCTACAGCATTCCAGAGTATGTGGGATTTGGGTGTGGCCAAGGTGGCTTGGACTTTCCCTTGGCCTTGTAGTCCTCACCTAAATCCTGGCACAACCAGAGTGAGAATCATGAAGTCATTGTCTGAGGCTCCAACAGCTGTATAAATGTAATCACCAGCCACCTCCCAGCCTGGAAAAGGAGAGGGGAGAGTTAAAACCCTGGTGCTCTTGGGTGCAGGGCAAATGTGCACCCAGATGACACCATGGAAGGGAGATATGACACCATCCTTTGGGGCATCCGGAACCATTGCCGAACACAAACCATGTTACTCATCAAAGACTTTGGTCAGAGACTCTGAAGCTCTCAGAGCAAGACCTTCAGGGTGCATGCTCGTTGTTTCTAGCTCTGATCTTGCATCTGAAACTAAGTTTTGGTAGAATATATGTCCATGAAGAGTGGAACTTCCAAGGGAATACACGACATAATTAGCTTATTTTTCTCGACATCACTACTATGAAGAAATGTGAAGCTGGAAGAACTGTGGGAGTGCAGGGAGTGGACAGCTCATGGTAGGGTGAGAGGGCGTTACCTGTCATGCCCTTGTACTCGAAGTTGATCCCACTGAGAACAGTCGTTTCCATGTTTGTGGGCAGAGTGTTCCACCATTTGTATTCAAATCCCACGGCAGGTTCAGTCCCAGCTGGGCAGTGGGTACAATCTGGGGAACCACAGATCCATGCATTCAGCAGGGAGGCTGCTTACTGCCACCCAGCCCACCAAGGGTGGTTACTGAGTGCTGTTGCACAAAGTTCTACCAAGCTGACTCAGAAACATTCCGACAGTGTATTTAACGAACGCATGAGGTAAACACTGAACCTTCATTCCAATATGCCAACCATCCTACTTGCCCCCGAAAATTTTCATTTCAAAACTTAAATGTATCTTCTAGTCCGATCATGTAGTTCATATTATTGTCACATTACCATTGACAGATACAAAAATCCCCCTAAGGCGGCATAGCTTCTAGGTTCTGATTATGTCAAGCTGGTCATCCTAGCCCTTTAAACCTTCTAGATAGCATCTCCGCCATGTGCTGCAAGCCTCTGTTGTGAGGCCGGGTACCTTCCAGCCCCAGTCACATTAGCAGCTGGAACAAGGAGGCGGGAGAGCAGTTCTCATGTCTGACTGACCTACAGACAGACCACCCCTCCTCCTGCGCTCAGTCCTCAGAGACGGCCTGGTCCTTCCCGCCTTCTGTGGAAGGGCAGAGTCTGCATTCCACTGGCCACTCCAGTGCCCACACGGCCCACCCCATGGCTGATGCGGGGGTGGATGTGACACAGGGCATAGGGCAGCGAAGAGGTTACCGGAGCCGTTGGAGTAGGAGCCGTATGGACAGGGCTCACAGGTGCTGTTGTTGGTTTTGAAGAAGCCTGGGTTGCAGGGTGGGCAACGGGTCTTCATGCCAGAGGCAGGTAGTTTCACTGCCCCCTCAAGGTCCTCGCCGCAGATTTTTGGCTTGGCCCATTTGTACATGAGCTGCGTCTGCAGAAAATGGATTAAGCACGGCTCAGCCTGTGTGGGGTTCAGCCTATCTACAGCCTGACTTGAGGGCGGGGGTTGGGGTTGGAGGTGGGATTCTGGGCCACATGAGAGCTCCGCCATGGTGCGGAACTTGGTGTTGGTCACTGATGTATCTCAAGCACCTAGCCCAGTGCCTGGCACATGATTGTGCTCAAAAACTACCTGCCACGTGAATGTTGCCTGGATGAAGAGGAATACACCTAATGAGGACTTTGTGATAGAGAGGATGGAGCCAAGTTGTCTTCAGAGAAAGGTCTGATTCCAGTGTAGAAGCTTATTACTACCAAGGTCACAGGAAAAGCAGCTGGTGAAAATCGCAGAACACAAAAAGGCACACAATGGAAGTGGCTTACATAACTCCTAGGGAAAGAGGAGGTGGCTGAGATGTCCCAATTTGTTTTGCAAGTGGTATATTCTTTGCTTTTTCATTTATTCAGTAAGCATTTATAGAAAGCCTAATATATCTATGTGCCAGACCAGACCTGGTGTCTCAGAGACGAGTGAGACATGGCTCCTGCACTGGGTACAGAAGGGACCCCTGATAAGTCAGGGGTGAAGTCGGACAGCTCTAGTCTTCCCACACGGCCCTCAGACCAAGTCAGAGGCAAAAAGGCGCCCTTACGGATTGCACTGAGTGGTTATGAAAACGATCTGCGCAGTGTGCCATACATGTGAAAGGAAGAACGCATAAGGCCTCTGTCCATTTTATTCAGGATGAGAAACGAGAAGCTCTTAAGGAGGGCCCCACACTTTCTCCTCCGCCTGCTCAGCTCAGCCCTCCTCCCCGTGATGAGCAGCCAATGGAGAGCCTCGGGCTTGCATGTTAACTCCACCCTGCCCACCTGTCTCCCGGAGTCTCAGGGTGAGGAGGGTGTCAGGAGCGGGGAAACCGACGTGGGCGCTCTCCTGGAGAGGCACATTCAGCAAGCCCAGTGGATTGGCCATCTTGGTCCCTGGGAAACCACTAAGGCACAGCAAAGGTCAGAAGGGCCATCACAGGAGCCAGCTTGAGGTGTTTCCGTTCATTTTAAAACATGGTTCAGAGACAAACTGAAATCACTAGACTGAGCAGAACCTGTGTGGGCGCGAGTCACAGAGCAGGAGGCTTCTGTAAGGCGCTGCTGGTGAATGCACATCCAGGCGCACTCCTCACACCACGTGCGTCAGCGCTCCTCTGAGCCGGGCTTTGGCTGTGCCGCAAGGCGGGCGCACGGCCTTTGGCCTGACCCAGCACCTCCAGGACCTGGGGTGGTCAGTCAGGCCAAGGCAGACACCCGGGCTGGCAGGCAGCAGAGCACACTGCAGATCTAAAAGGCCTTGGTCTGTGCCTGGTAGGTAAGAGAGTGGGACAGCAGGGAGGAAAGACACTCACATTTGCTCACATATGAAGAGGAGGGAGAAGAGGAGCAGGATTAGTTGTCCCATTTTATTAGTGAGTCAACTGAGACCAAGAAAATGAAAATAATTTTTGCAAGGTCACACAGAACACTGGACATTATGGAACTGAGTCTAAGATGCAACTGACAAGACACGCAGCCATTCTCTCTTTGTTGGGGAAGGGGATGACGCTCCAAATATGGCGGGGAAGGTGGTGGTGGTGGTGGTCAGAGACGATGATGAACAATAATCACCGTGAAGGACCAGACTTTATTCCACGCTTAATCAGCAAAGGGATAATTCAGCCAGCTGTCCCGCCAGCAAACATTTATGCGTCCTAATAGCCAAGCATCATGCTTAGTGCCGAATGCAGAATCCTCGCCTCCTAATGCTTTCTCCTTGAGAGGCTCTGGTTTGGGGATGCAGCCAGTCCATCCAGAGTGTCTAGCCTAAGTCAGATCCCTCTACCTGTGCCCTCGAGCCCAGCCTGGCTCACCACTGCTCCTGGAAGTCGCCGGGCACACAGCTGCTTCCTCTGTTCCTGCCGTGCCCTCTGCCTGCAGAGCTCCACGGCTCCTTCCTCATCTCGTTCAGGTCTCTGCTCAAATGTCCCCTCCTCAGAGAGGCCATCCCTATACTTTCTAAAATAGCAGCCTTGTCTTCTGTCATTCCCTATCTCCTTATCCTGTTTTATTGTTTTCCTTCCTACTACTTGTTACCATTTGATACATTACACACCCATTCGCTGTCTGTCTGTCATCTCTTTCTCCGCTCCCTCCCCAACAAGAACTAAGCTCCATAAGAGCTAGATGTTCTCTTGGTTTTGTTAATTGATGTGTACTCAGTACCTAGCACAATGCCTGGCACAGAGTAGCTGCTTGATAAATATTTGTTGACTATTGAAATGAACAAACAGTCTCCTCCAAGAGGCCTTCTCTGGGCTCCAGTCCTGGTCGCTCCCCGTCTGGGCTCCCCCAGCGCCCTGTACATCTCTCCGGTGGCCTCGTTCATGGCCTCCCACGCAGGACTGCGACCCCGAGGGCAGGAGCCTGTCCCAGTCATCTCTGACTCCCCGCCTGCAGCACAACACCTGACACACCAGTCAGCTCTCGGCGGGCCCTGGTTGGCTCAGGGGCAGTGCAGACGACCAAGGAAAGCTCTTTTCTGAGGCAGAAAGCCTGGGGGAAGAGAAATGGCAGCACCTGAACAAGCCAGGCCATTCTCCAGTGAGCTGGGAAGGAGGAATCAAGTCCCCTTGGCGACCCGCGATAGCAGCGCCGAGGGGGCACAAGTCTGACAAGCTGCGTGAGGAGTAAGCGTGCACAGAGACGCAGGCACTGCCCCGAGCGGCTATGCAGATGGGAGAAACCAAGCGAAAGAAAATGAAATGGTTTTTTTGAAACAGAGCACATGTGAATAAGCAGTGAAACAAATGTGGCAGAAACAGTTTCTGACCTGAAAATGAGGGAAGCCATCTCGTTTTGCCCCCTGACTAGCCCTGGGGTCACCTCGAAGGTCAGTGGGGTTTTATCTGGTGGCAGCTTCGCTGACTGCCGAACGGTGGCAAAGCCCAGGGGCCAGGAGACAGTCCACCCGGGGCAAAGGGCCTCCAGAACCGTGTTACCTACCTCTCCGTTGGCATCGCAGGCTGTGTGTGTGTAGAAATAATCTTTGTCTGTGCAGGCTGGACGCGCTTTGCAGGAGGACGATCCTTTTTCTAAATTGCCGAAGCAAGAAAAAATATTTGAAGTGACGTAAGAAAGCCGAGCTCTTGACCACTTACTTGCCCATGACTGTGACTCCCAAGTCCCCGGGGGGACATCATCACATACCCACTCTTCTCCTTGCCCAATAGTGTCCTTTCCAGCTCCCAAAGCCCTGCTCAAATATCCTTTTGCCCCTCTCCCAGGTGCCGATGAGAAACCACTGGCCCCACACGGGGGACGGGGTATGGAGAAGTGGCCTGGCCAAAGGACCACCGAGGAGGGGCGGAAGTGCAAACAGCACTTGCAGGTTAGCCGCCACCAAGCCAAGTCCCTAGAAACCTGCCATCCTCCCCCGCCTTCGTGTCCTGACTGCGGGGTGTGGTTTTGCTACTCCTGAAGGGTCGAAGTAAAACAGTAGAGCTTAGCCCAGTGCTTTCATATTCTCACTCCAAGCCTTTCTCCGAATTTTCTCTTAATATATGCCTAACGCGAAGGTCTTCCATTTTTGAAATTTCCCCTTCCTCGTGCAACCAGTCTACACGAAAAGCTTGTAATTTCTTTGGACTCCACTTAAGACCTAAGGGTCTTTCCACCTGCCTCAATCCAAGCGTCCCAACATTATCTTTAACCTTTGACCTTCGCCTAATGAAAACTGCTCACTATCGGTTTTATCCTGCTCTATGCGGTCTCCTATGTCTGTTAGTTCTACTTTAACCCGGAGAGCCTCAGGATAACAAGAACTATTTCAATGAATTCCTCTTTAAAGCGATGGATTTCACCTTTTTTGAATTTAGAAACTCTTTTGAAAAATTGAAGAAAGATGTATAATCCATGCAAATAAAATTTTTAAAAGTTTTCCAGGGAACTGATCTTCTCCAGAATAAGAACCACTGCTTTACAGAGTGCACATGACAATACTACTACTACTACTGCCCCCAAGACTTCTAATATGATTGCTGTGTCACCTGCAGGTAAGCATTTAATAATGATAAGACCTTCTCTCTCTCTCTCTCTCTGTCTCTCTCTCTCTGTCTCTCTCTCTATATATATTACCAGGCAGCCAGTATGGTTAGTGGAATGAGATTTTAAGCTAGATGGGTCTGGGTTTGGAACCTGCTTCATTATTTAGTAGCTGTGTCACTTTAGGCAAGTTACTTGATCTCTCTGAGCCTCAGCCTTATCATCTGTAGAGCAGGAATAATAAGATCTACCTTGCTGTAGCCAGCATATACCTGGCACATTATAAGTAGATACTCACTAAATAGCAATAACTATTAATACTATGCATGTTGGGGATTATTTTTATTTGAGAACCATCACAGGAGATTTAATAAGGATTAAAAGTCTCTTTCCCTCCTTTCCAATTAAGGGCTTATTTCTCAGTTGATCCCTTCTTTTCCCCAAGGCGCCACATGAGTTCTTAGATCAGAGACTCTCCTGATCGCAGCCTTGCTGGCCTGCACTGAGAAGTTCCCTTAACTGCACAGCTCCACGCCTCTTCTGTCCCCGTCTTATTAGGCCGGGAGAGAGGGAATGACTGGCTGAGAAACAGCTGGGGTCTTCTCAGCTCATTTCCCTTGTTAACAAGCAGATGGCCCAATTCAGCATAGAGGGATCCAGGGACTCCTGCTTTGGACTGCCTTGGCCAGGAGAAATTTGGGGAGAGATGCTGAAAATGCGCCAATTCCCAGGACCTTGCGTTTTGGGTATAGCAAAGTACAAGTGTTGTGTTAGAAAATGCATTCCATACAAACACCTTTCTCTGCTTGTCAATATTTGCTCAGCCTGACACCCTAGCTCCAGGTTTTAGCAAAAATGGTCTAGCTGTTTACACACTGACCACTGTTAAGGTGGTTTTAATAAATGATTAACCAAAATGCTGAGACAGACCTCATTTTCCTAGCTCAGGTTTCATTGAGGTGTTTAAGTTGGATACTAGTCAAGTTTGAGATATCAGCCTAAATGTTTGGTTGAGGGAGTGAAAAGTAATTTGAATGGGACTGGCCCTGAGCAAAACCGTATGAAGATAAAGTTTATCTCAGGGACTCCAACTCCTTTTTCTGCACCTCCTTCCTCCTTTCAGTGTTTTCTCCTCACCTCCAGGAGTAGTGTTCTCACTGGGGCCCCTCTTATCAAAGGAAAGGTTTCTGAGTTTCTCTTTATTCATCTGTAAATGGTAAAGTCACTCCTGTACTATGCTATGAGCAATAAATGAGAAATAATGTTTTGTCATTCGGAAAGTACTATACAAGGGACTTATTGCAGTTGTAACCTCTACCAAGAGTATTTGCATGTTAAAATAGGAGTGTTGGGACAGGCCTTAATATAAATAAATTAATATAATTAGTGCTTACTACGTGCAGGCCCCTTTCTAAATCCCCTGCCTGTATTTATCAATCCTCACAATCATGTTATGAGGCAGATATGATTATTGTCATTCCCATTTTATAGATGAAGAAACAGAGGCACATACAATTTGCACAGCTACTAAGTGGTAGAGCAGGGATTTGAACCCTACTAATTTAGCTCTGGAGCCCACATTCTTTTTTTTTTTTGAGACAGAGTCTCACTCTGTTGCCCGGGCTAGAGTGCCGTGGTGTCAGCCTAGCTCACAGCAACCTCAAACTCCTGGCCTCAAGCGATCCTCCTGCCTCAGCCTCCCGGGTAGCTGGGACTACAGGCATGCGCCACCATGCCCGGCTAATTTTTTCTATTTTTAGTTGTTTGGCTAGTTTCTTTCCATTTATAGTAGAGACGGGGTCTCGCTCTTGCTCAGGCTGGTCTCGAATTCCTGAGCTCGAGCAACCCTCCCGCCTCGGCCTCCCAGAGTGCTAGGATTACAGGCGTGAGCCACCGCGCCCGGCCATGGAGCCCACGCTCTTAAATTCCATGCTATTCTATTAAGAAATGGATTGCTAATATAAACATAGCACAAAGAAATTAATCCTAATAATCAAATTTTAGGTATCAATGAGAAAGATGCTTTTAGCCAAGCTTTTGTCTTTAACATCTCTCCTGTGAGTTCTCCAGTCTCCACCCGCATTAGCTCCAGCTTAGTTTAGGTCCTGGACACCAGCAATGGTGCCCGCCGCAACATCTCCCACCTGTGACCTCTGCCTCCGGCTGTTCCCTCCCTCCTCCACGTGGCAGCCAGAGTGGTGTTTCAAAAGCACCAGCCAGACTGATCATGTCACTCTCCAGTTTAGAATTTTTTAACGGCCTCCACTGCGGATAGGATCAAATATCAATCTGTTTTCACAATAGCACAGAAGTGCTGCACCATAATCTGTTCCCTGCCTGCTCCTGGCCTTGGATGCTACTTCTCTCCACCTAATCTCCAGCCAAAGTGAATGACTGGCAGTTCCCTAAGCCTTCTGGCCTTGGCTCATGCTTCTCCTATCCCCGAAGTCCTGCCCCCATCAAATCATCCACTCATCTTAAAAACTCAGCTCATCTTTCAAGACCTCAGCTCGTGAAGCTTTTCCTCCTTTCCTAGAGAGGATCAGTCACTTCCCTTTTTTTTTTTTTTTTTTTTTGCTTCCACTCATGCTACACCCTGCACTCCTATCCCAACACCTACTGCACCATGGAGAGTTACTGTGCTTAGGTGTTTATATAGCCACTTTTTGACATAAACTGAAGGTCAAGCACCAGCTTTAACCCTAGCACCAACAGCAGTCCTTGGCGCCTGGCAGGCACTCAGAATATATTCGTATACTAAATGGATGGGTCTTCTCTCACTCCCTTCATGCACATTCCATCATAGGCTGTCATCAGACTCTGCATTTTGCCAGCCTCCCACTGACTCTGCATTCTGGAAGAGGCAAGTCTCAAAGAAATGTGATTTTCTTTGTACCCTAAGCTGGCGAGGTAGTCAACAAGTTGACCGTGTTCTTTATATTAATAGTAAAAGCTCACTTCCTAGTCTAAGAGGCAAATTGAGAAATCAGTGGCAGACCAGGCGTGGTGGCTCACGCCTGTAATCCTAGCACTCTGGGAGGCCGAGGCGGGAGGATCACTTGAGGTCAGGAGTTCGAGACCAGCCTGAGCAAGAGTGAGACCCTGTCTCTACTAAAAATAGAAAAATTAGCCAGGTGTGGCGGCGCATGCCTGTAGTCCCAGCTAGTTAGGAGGTTGAGGCAGGAGGATCGCTTGAACCCAGGAGTTTGAGGTTGCTGTGAGCTAGGCTGACGCCACTGCACTCCAGGCAACAGAGTGAGACTCTGTCTTCAAAAAAAAAAAGTGAGAAATCCATGGCAGAAGGAGAATAGACTCTGAGAATTCAGACTCCCAACCTAACACTTTCATAACAGTTCTCTGGATAAAAATCAGTTGCGTAGAATTGATTGAAACACACCTAGGCAGTTTTTCTAGAACCACCTTGCCATCCAAACCCTTGTGCAACTGCTGGGCTGGAAAGGGAGCCAGAGACTGTGACTAACAAAGGCTGCTGTTGATAGAGGTAGAGCAGGGAAGAGGAATAAGAAATTCAAGTGGAAAAACAGGAATTTAGGCTTATAGATTAAAAACTTCCTCCAAGATCTAAACATTATTGTTCTGACTGAAAACCACACTCATTTGGTGAGATCTGTGTGGATAAATAGGACTTTTGTTTTAGGAATTGTGTAGAAATAAGCAATTCACAGGTCAATGGCTGGTCTTGGCAGAGCAAACACATACTGTGACACCTGTGTGAGGTGTGCATGTGTCCATGTAGGGACATGGGGGTCTGCTTGAGAAAGGGCCTTGAGAAGGGCCCTGTGCTGGGTTTATAGAAGGCTCTGTGTAAGACGGGAAAATAGAATAGTATGAGTGTTGCCAGGAGAAGAGAGGGAACTGTTTCTCTCTCCCTTCTTGTCTGCCTCAGAACCTGGCTTGGAGACTGACCCCCATGCAGCTGCCTGAGCAAAGGGTGTCTGGTGGCACTGCCGGTCTCACACCAGAGCCTTGATGCCCCCTGAGAACCCCTCCAAGGACCAAGCCCCGTTTCTCAAATTGGGATGCTTTAGGAAGCTATCCAAGAACTGTAAACATAGGCTGCTTCTAGCTGTCCCCTCCCTGTCCCTTGGACTAGTGGTTTTCCCAAAATGCCTGCTTTGAATTCAATAAATGCTGAGGCTGATCAAAGATTGCAACTTCTGTGTTTGGTCCTTGTTATCAAAGTGTGTGCGCTCATCAATGAAACCTCATGATTCTTATAAATTAACTTGATAATAATTGCTATAAATTAAAATGTATAAATTTATACCTCTTTTATCTACTGTATCTATTCTTTATAATTATAACCTTATATAAGGTTTCATTTTAAAAGAAGATTTCACTGCTTAAAAAAAGATCACAACTTCTTTCGCTAGCTTTCCTAATCCTTCTGAGTTGATTTTCTTTTTGTCACAGCACCATGGCACTTTTTACCATCTAATATACTATATAATTTATTATATATGTATCATTTATTTATTATAGTTTCTTTTATCAGCCTAGCTCACAGCAACCTCAAACTCCTGGCCTCAAGCGATCCTCCTGCCTCAGCCTCCCGGGTAGCTGGGACTACAGGCATGCGCCACCATGCCCGGCTAATTTTTTCTATTTTTAGTTGTTTGGCTAGTTTCTTTCCATTTATAGTAGAGACGGGGTCTCGCTCTTGCTCAGGCTGGTCTCGAATTCCTGAGCTCGAGCAACCCTCCCGCCTCGGCCTCCCAGAGTGCTAGGATTACAGGCGTGAGCCACCGCGCCCGGCCATGGAGCCCACGCTCTTAAATTCCATGCTATTCTATTAAGAAATGGATTGCTAATATAAACATAGCACAAAGAAATTAATCCTAATAATCAAATTTTAGGTATCAATGAGAAAGATGCTTTTAGCCAAGCTTTTGTCTTTAACATCTCTCCTGTGAGTTCTCCAGTCTCCACCCGCATTAGCTCCAGCTTAGTTTAGGTCCTGGACACCAGCAATGGTGCCCGCCGCAACATCTCCCACCTGTGACCTCTGCCTCCGGCTGTTCCCTCCCTCCTCCACGTGGCAGCCAGAGTGGTGTTTCAAAAGCACCAGCCAGACTGATCATGTCACTCTCCAGTTTAGAATTTTTTAACGGCCTCCACTGCGGATAGGATCAAATATCAATCTGTTTTCACAATAGCACAGAAGTGCTGCACCATAATCTGTTCCCTGCCTGCTCCTGGCCTTGGATGCTACTTCTCTCCACCTAATCTCCAGCCAAAGTGAATGACTGGCAGTTCCCTAAGCCTTCTGGCCTTGGCTCATGCTTCTCCTATCCCCGAAGTCCTGCCCCCATCAAATCATCCACTCATCTTAAAAACTCAGCTCATCTTTCAAGACCTCAGCTCGTGAAGCTTTTCCTCCTTTCCTAGAGAGGATCAGTCACTTC